TACAAAACATAAATCAGAAACTCAGGAAAAAAAAAGAAGAAGAAAAAGATGATTTTGAAAGAGAACCAAACACATCTTGGAAATGAATGGTTCAATAAGTCAAATAAAAACTCCAATCAAAAAGCCTCAACTACAGACAAGACCAAGTGGAAGAAAGAATATCTGAACCCGGAAGATAGGCTTTGGAAATATCACATTCAGAAAAAAAGAAAAAAAACAAAGAATGAAGAGCACATTCAAGATCTTTAGGATGCCATTAAATAAACATCTGCATCACCGAAATATCCAAAGGTAAGGAAATAAAGATTAAGGGAGTACAAAACCTAATCAATGAAATCACAGTAGAAATCTCCCTGATCTTGAGAAAGACATGGATATCAGGTAGGAGGCTTACAAAATTGAATCCCATATAATAAATCCCAAATATTCATGAACAGAAAAAATCCTGACCATGAACATATGATAATCAAACCATCAAAAGTGCAGGACAGGGCTGGGGATGTGGCTCAAGCGGTTGCATGCTCGCCAGGCATGCGTGTGGCCTGGGTTCGATCCTCAGCACCACATACAAACAAAGATGTTGTGTCCGATGAAAACTAAAAAATAAATATTTTATTCTAAAAAAAAAAAGTGCAGGACAAAGAAAGAATTTTAAAATCTGCAAGTGAAAAGTATTGAGTCATATTTGAGGGCAGCCCCATTACACATGATCTCCCAGCAGAAACCATAGAAGCCAAGAGGGAATAAATGAAGCATTTCAATCCTGTAAGAAAACAATTATATCCAGAAAGGCTATCCTTCAAAAATGAGGTGGAGGTGGGGGAAGAAGACCTTCCAAAATAAGTAAAAGCTGAGAGAACTCATAACCACCAGGCCAACCTTACAAAAGCTGCTTATAGGAGTCCCACATCCAGAAGTGAAAGATAACTACTAGAATAAAAAAGGAGAATGTAAAAGTCCCCCTAGAAGAGTGGATACATAAAAGAGAAATGGAAAAGAATCAAACATTATTAATACAGTCAAACATCAAACCACAAAGATCAATAAGAAGAAAAAAAGAATCTTTAAAACGAGAGGAAAACAAACGAAATGACAGACATGTCTGTTCGCTCCGATAATAACTTTGAAGGCAAATGGATTAAGTTCTCTAATTAAAAGATACAGACTGGCTGAAGGCATTTAGAAAAACAAGACCAACGATGTGCTGCCTGCACGAACCTCACAAGTAAAGATACACAGACTGAAAGTGAAAGGATACAAAATGATATTCAATGATATGGCTTATCAATGAGGTTTCCCCCAAAGTTCATGGTTTATGGAGTTTAACCTAATCAGTGTATTGATTCAGCTCTCTGGGTTAACTGGATGGCACCTGTAGGCAGGTAAGGTATGGCTGGAGGAGTAGGTCCCTGGGGCATGCCTTTGGAGTTTATATTTCGTCCCTGGTGAATGGAGCTCTCTCTGCTTCCTGGTGCCGTGTCTTGAGTTGTTTTCCTCCACCACACTCTTCTGCCATGATATTCTACCTCACCTTGGCCCAGAGTTGACCATGGAATGAGCCTCGAAAAAAGTGAGAGGCTACTACAATGGAAATTATAAAACAGTGATGAAAGAAACTGAAGATATTAAAAGATGAAAAGACCCATGTTCATGGACTGGAAGAACTAATATTGTTAAAATGTTCACATTCCCACGTGGCACTTCCCATCAAAATACCTGGCACTCTTCATAGAACAAATGTGTTAGCTTCSTTACTGGGACAAAATAATGGAGAAAAAAAAGGACGAAAGATTTATCTTGGCTCCTGTTTTAGGGTTTCAGTCCACAGTTGGTTCAGTCCAGTGTTTGGAGGCCTGTGGTGCGTCAGAACATCAGGGTGAGGAGTGTGTGTTGGAGCAGAGCTGCTCACTTCATGGTGCTGGGAAGTAAAGAGAGCGAAAGCAAAGGGCTGGGGGTCCCAATATCCCTTTCAAGGGCTTGTCCCCACTGACTGGATTCCCTTTCACTAGCTCCCCCTTACTCCCACCTCCTAAAGGTTCTAACACCTCTCAATAGTGCCATCAGCTGGGGACCAACACMTAAGCCACTGGGGGACATTTAAGATCCAAACCACAAAAATTAGAAAAACCAATCGAAGAAATCGTATGAAAGCATAAAAGACCTTGAGTAGTCAAAGCCATCTTAGGAAAAAGAAAAAAGTTGGAAGAAGCGCAGTACCTGACTTCAAGACGTACTCCAGAGCCACAGTAACCAAAACGAAAGTATGAGATTGGCATAAAAGCAGACCCACAGAGCAATGTGACAGAACAGAGATGCCACAGTAGACCCACCCATCCAGAGCCACTGAAGCTCACCAAAGGCACCACCGACATACTGGAGAGAGGACAGCCTCTTGAACAAACAGTGCCTGGGAAAAGTGGATATTCACATGAAACCTGAACCTGCTCTCTCATCCTGTACACAAATCAACTTGAAATGGGTAAGGATCTAAGTGGAAGACTAGAAACTATGGAACTACTAGAAGAAAACATAGGGGAGTCATAATTGGTTCTGAAATTGGTTTTCTGCACAGAATCCTAAAAGCACAGGAAGAAAGCAAAAAAGTCAATAGGGTTACATCAAATTAAAAAGTTTCTGTGGAGCCACAGAAATAGCAAGAGAGTGAGGGAACCTATAGAATAGGAAAAAAATACCTGCCAGTTATTCATTTGACAAATGGCACTATCCAGCATATGTAAAGAACTCAGAAAACTTCATAGAAAAAGAAGAAATCCAATTTAAAAATGGGCTAATGATCTCAACAAACACTTTTAAAAAGATGAAATACAAATGGCCAATAAAAATACTTAAAAATTCTCAGTATCATTAGCCATCAAGGAAATAGAAATCAAAACTACAATGAAAACCACCTTATTCCAGATAGAATGGCTATTATAAAAAAAACAACAAAAAAGAAAGAAAATCAAAACAAACGAACAAAAMCCAAAACACAACAAATAGTGGTGAGGACATGGGGCAAAAGGCACTCTCATCCTCTGCTGATGGGAGTGTGAGCTAGCACAGCCACGTGGGAAACAGTATGGAAGCCTCATAGGACTAAACACAGATCTGCCACGTGGCCAGCCATCCCACTTCTGCCTACAGAGGAAGGCTTTCCAAGGGACTGGGAAGGTGCTGGGGGTGGGGTGCCAGAATGTGGTTAGAAATGACTGGTGCAGTACGGAAATAGCACCTAGATTCCATTAATATGTGTAGTTAATGTGTGTTAAGAAAAAATAAAAAGCTTCATAAGTTAAAAACACCTACAACCTGTATGCTTAATAATTAAAAAAACTTAAAGCGCACTACCAACTCTAATTTTTGRAAGTCATTATCTAACTTCAGCTGTCTGCCCTCTCTCCCTTCCTCCCTCTCTCCCTCCCTGTTTATATGCAGGGGAGGGGCCTGGAAGGATATTCACCAGTATTAATGGTAGGTAATGGCAGTGGAATTTGAGAATCTTATATTTTCTGCATTACTTAAATTCCTTATAATCAAAATACATTATTTCCCCCCTGAAATTTAATGAGCTCCTTAAAAACAGAAAACAAAAAGTAGAAAATGAAAAGATAAAGCCATGACATATAAGGGAGAGTCCCTTATTTATTTATGTAGCACACACTAAGCACCTTTCTTACAGGTTTTTATTTGGGTTTGATTGCCCTATAGAAGCAGCCAAGATTTCTTTAAACATTTCTGAAGTGGCTAAAATGCAAGCCTGTCTCTATCTACATCTGAACCCAGCTGTCAACACCTTCCAGCATTTTCCATTTCTCCCCACTGGAACATCTCAGGCACTGCCCTAGGTTTTTGTTTTCTTTTCTTTTTTGTGGAGCAGGATGGGCAGGAAGGAGAAGGGAAGATATTTTTCTCCTTCATTTCAGATACAATAATTCAAGTGATCTTACGAACACACACACACACACACACACACACACACACACACACAGTTTTTTCCTACCCTCAGGCCATGTAATCTTTCTACAACTGCTGAGCATTGTCATAAACATTTGTATTCCTCTGACATCCGTGCAACCAAAAGCCTTTCCTAAATGGTGGGTCCCTGTAGTTGACAGGCTCACTCGAGGTGGCTTAACAGAGCCTTTATCAGCTCCTGTCTCCAGCTGCACAGCAGAGAGCCTGCTGTATGCTCCATGGTGCCTCATAATTAGCCCAAAGCAGCCGCTTCCCCAAAGCCTCACTTTGTAACCTGCCACTACTGTCAGTGCGTATAAATATTAAATGCAAAAGGCACCATTAAAATAACATTAGGATTTTGGCTGAAGCATTGACAGCTGCGATCTCTGAAGTTGAGATGAGGCAGCTGCCTAGAAGTTCTTTATCTTTCTGGGCACTTATTTGTAGTTTTCTGAATTCCAGGAATCACTCACACACCTCCTGCTGATAGGTGAAGGTGGAGATGAGGCAGAAAACCACCTTACATGAAGCTATTTTTCTGAGTTTTCACCCTGGGTACATGTGTAAAATTTCATCTACCAAATGTGTGGCAGTTGGACCCCACCCTCCTTGCTGAGCACTGACTCTCGAGGGCTACCAGACAGCAGACCTGAGGCAGCTTAAGACTTGTGAGGCTGAGAGGACCTGAGAAGACCAGGCAGGCTGGAGGTCGAGCCGAGGCTGCCTTTGGCTCTGGGGAGGCCGTGGTCTGGCAACCCCCATGAGCTGTAGGGCCYCAGCCTTTTAAGTAAACAAACATTTGAGGGAGACATTCAGGGCAAGGCCAAGCAATAACTCTTTCCCCCAAAGAGCAAAGACGAGGAGCAAACTGCGTGTGTTGTACACGGAGGCTAATCCAGATCTCTCTACCTTTCAGCCTCCACTGACATGACGAGCCTTTAATATTTTCACTATGAAATCTACTTAGTAACAGCATCTGGATTTCACAGAAAACATTTACTGGGAGAGTGGAGCAGTGAGAAACTTCTGAAGTGTGGACATACCTGTTTAGCGACGGATGAAGAAATGGCTTTCCTCTCCAGAAGGTCGAGAAGCTCAGCAAGCGCAGAGGGTGTGACGGGACTAGGCGGCCCCAAGAAGAGAAAGAGAAAGAAAGTTCACATTTCACACTGTCAGGGTATTCAGGATCCAAACTGCTCGATCTCACACGTTTAAATAATCACAACCACACCCCGGAATGAAAATAACTGGCCAATTGGGCTCTATTTTATTTTACTTATTTATTTTGTATTTTAGGATATAACAAATTTTTGTGACTGGTTTTGTTTTTTTCTGCTTATTTTACCACCCAACAATAACAGCTGTTTGGCAGAAGCTGTAGCAACAGACAACTGCTCAGTGCAATTAGTCAAAAAAGGAGGTGGCTGCAAATTCATGAACCACAAAGAGAAAGGGGGAAAAAATCCAGTAATTAAATATTTCCAACGGAAAGATCGGCCTAAAAATTACTTCAAACAAAACAGCTAACAAAGCCACTTTTCTGTGTTGTTTCTATGCAAATATAAATTCCTTATAATTGTGAGAGATTTTCTGTAGGGGAACACAATGTCTCCCAGCCCCGGCTCTACCTGTCCTCATGGGCCCTCGGTATAATCTGTGCTCTTCTGCAGATTCACAACAGCTTTCTGGACACAGAAGGGCCCCAAATCCATTATATCGACGTAACTTATTTGCCAAGGTGCCATGATATAAAAGGTCAGGGGGAAAGGAAACACTGTAACGTGTCATTAACTCACACTTGGGGTAGGGTGAAGGGGTGTGTCAAGACGACTGAAAAGATGAGACTGAATTACAGCCTCCTTTACAAATATCTGGTTTTCTACTTTAAGGCATATGCAGCAACTAGGCTGATGAAATGCYGTCTATCTGAGGTCATTAGGGGACTAGTTTAAAACAAGAGGAATGACTTAAAAACAGTACACAAACATGTCCGTAAGTCACAGCTTCTGAAAGGTATGTGCCACTTGAAAATTTACCTACTATTTAAGTCCTGGTTTCCACCATTCACAGTTCATTTCTTTGTGGCTCTTACATAGGGAACCAGAGTTCGGCTCCTATGCCAGTTTCCATGAACTCCAGCCCAGTAAAGTGCAACTGAACCAGGAGTGGCTTACGGGTCTCAGACCCAGATACAGGGGAACCTTTATGGTTGTTCATTCAAATCAGCTAACACACTGAGTCAGCCCATCATCCCTGAAGTGCTTGTTCATTCCAAAGTATGAATAAAGGGTAATTTCAAGTGGAAATTAGGTTTGGAAAGTGTCTGGTGTTACTAAGTTAGTGTTTGGAACATCTGTGAACCATGCTGATTAAATCTCAAAAGAAAGAGGGGCAGAGGGCTGTGAAATAAATCACTATCCTTTTCCAACTGCCCATCTTACTGACAAGTAGAAAGGAATCAGGTTTCTCTAAAAATGTGGGTTGCTTGCATGTTCTGCAATCCCAGAAAATACAACAGCCAATTATCTTACAGTGGAGACTGTGCCTGGACCCGCAATAAGGGCTGAGGTTTCTAGAGCATGCACAATATAGGGTCTCTACCCCCACATGGGTTAATTATCTCAGTTCATCGGGGCTGATATAACAATCCCATTGCCTGGTGGCTTGTAAACAATGGAGTTCTTTCTCACAGTTCTGGAGGCAGGGATGCTAGAGATCAGGGCACCAGCAGGTGGTGTCTTGTGAAGTCCCTCTTCTCAGGAGTGTCCTCACAGGCATCCAGGGCAGCTCTCTGGGGCTTATTTTACAAGGGCACTAACGTCACTGATTCACCCTACTTCCTAACACCACCACCACAGGGGTTAGGATTTCCACACAGGAATTCTGAGCACACAGAAATCTTAGCAATGGGAAGAAAAAGAACACAAAATCACTGAAAATACTTAGAGAAATTCATCTAGTGACCTCAATTTGTTAGGTTATAAATTTACACTATAAATCTCTCCACTGATGTAAAAGCACGTGGGATTTTCCAATTATCTTTTTGTTCCATAATGCTCAACACATAGTAGGTCAATAATATTTTTGTCACAGGATTCCTCCTGCCAATAGGGTATCTGAGGTGGTCGGTTTCAGGATCACCATCCCCACCCCCATCCCAAGGATACTAACATCTGCAGATACTCAGGTCCCTTATATTAATGTTACAGTCTGCACAGAAGCTATGCACATCTTCCCRTATACTTTGAATCATCTCTAGATTAGGTATAGCTAATACAATGCAAATGCTATGTAAATAGTTTCTATACTCCATTGTTTGGGGAATAATGATAAGGAAAAAAGTCTGTATGTGTTCAGTAGAGATGCAATTTTCTTCCAAAATATTTTTGATCTGCAGTTGGTTGAACCCTCACATATGGAAGGCTTACTATACTAATTCCAGGTACGCCAGTGCATGACTAGAATGAGGGGATGACAAACATTGGTACCCATCACACCAAGCCTGGAAGACCCCCCCTCCCCAGGTAACTAAACAGACCATCATATTTCAAAGCCAATGGCAGCAGAAAGAGAAGCTACTAATTTGCTGCTGTCAGATCTAATACTGGCTTCTGGACAGTGACTGTGTCTCCACTGGGGAAGCTCCGATGTGGGAAGTGGAGGCTCTGTGCAGACTGTCTTCCCCCTTGACACGGGATCTTTCAAACCTTCCAATCTTACCCATTCCCCTGAGTTCTTCTAAGGTCCCAGCTTCAAGTCCAGCTTGGATTCTGAGAGCAGACACCCTGACACTTCTCAGCCAGGGCCCACCCCAGTGAAATGGCTGTCCATCTCGATCCCAAGCTGATCTGCCCGAGTCCCCCCTTCTCTGCTTCTGTTGAAATGGGACTCAAGAAGCTGCTGCAGGAAGATGCTGGGCTTGGAGTGTGCTGCTCACTGAGGCTGCTGTTCACCCTACAGGCACCCCAGTGCCCTGCCTGTGCCCACACACCCAGCAACTGCTCCAGACGGTCTCCTGCCCACCYTCTTCCCTGCACACACCCCACCTCCCACTTCCTAGGGAGGTCAGCTGATGCAAGGCCAGTGGCCCCTAGTGCCCCTCCCCCCATGCTCTCCATGCCATCACCTGCCACACGCCTACGATTTGGATTCCTCCTGGGAGGTGCACTTTCTCCATCCTGTGGCTTTAATCTCACCCTTCACAAATGCTCAGACCTCTCCTATCTTGAAAATGCCCACAAACTACTAGAGCTGCTGGGTTTCTTACCTTATTTTGGCCAATAACGATCTAGCCCTGCTGGTTACTCTGTGCCCTCAGGAGCATGTGTCAACTGGGGTCCACCCCAGCCTGCTGAGCAGCTCCGCTCAGAAACCATCCACTCACTTGCTGCCAAACTCCAGCCTTCCCTTCTGCTGCCCCAACCCAAACTCAGCCCCTGTGAGCAGGCTTCTTCCAGGCCTCCCTCTGCTCCTCCCTCAGCTGTCTGTCCACCCCCCTCCCCTCTCCAGGTCCTCTTCCTGGGTCCCTGGCCTTCCCTCACTCTGCAAAGGGGAAGCGCATCTGTTCCCAGGGATGCTGCTGCTGCTGTACCTGCCTCCCGTGAGGTCCCATGCTCACCCAAACTATGTGTTTTAAACCAGGTGGCAAACTTCTGGAAAAAGCGAGATGGCAAATATTTGAGGATCTGTGGGCCACACACGTTCTCCTTCCTTCCTTTTTTTTCGTGGTGTATGTGTGTGTTTGTGTTGGAGATTAAACCCAGGGCCTCCAGCATGCTAAATACACATGCACCATGGAGCCTCACCCCAGCCCTACCCGCTTTTTAAAGAAGGTAAAAAATCCACTCTTATTCACAGGCTGCGTGAAAACAGACTCGCCAGCCAGCCTGCCAAGCTATACTTAGCCTCCCGCTGACCAGCACCCTCTGGGTCTCAAATGATGGCAGTGCCATGCCTCTGGTTACCTGGTGCAGATGGTCATGCCATTTTTGCTTAGCTCACTGCCCACTCCCTGAAAGTTTAGCCCAATACTGACAAGTCCCAGTGATCCTTCAAAACATTAACTACAGCCGTGCCTCCTCCTGCATTCCCAAAACTGTCATTTTTGACAGTGTTGTGACAGTAGCCCCAATGATCTAACATGCTTCCAGTGGCTGTGGCCCATTCTTGGAAGCCATCCCACATGACGCTGCTGGACTAAACCTCCTGGCATCACCACTCCCTACTCGGCTCAAAAGCCTCCCTGCTTTCCCAGTGCTTAGGACTCATGCCCACTTAGACCTGAAGTTTGGGACACTCCCCTGACCTGGACAGCCAGACAGCTGCACTGGCCTGATTTTTCTACAGAATACTTAGGCAATATGCAATTTCCATTTTCTTAACTATAGTTCTATTTTCTTTTTTTAATATTTGCTTTTTAGTTATAGATGGACACATATCTTTATTTTTAATTTTTATGTGGTGCTGAGGATCGAGCCCAGTTCCTCACAGATGGTAGGCTATTGCCCTACCCCTAAGCCACAGCCCCAGTCCCGGTTCCACTTTCTTAACTAAAGCAAACCTATTAACAATTCGAAATTTCTTATTAATTTAAATAACCTCCCAAAGTAACATACTGAAAAACAATCAGAAAGTTCAGAGAAGACTGGATTCTTTACATGCCAGTCTTTTGATATGAAGAAAGCAAATTTGCACAATCAGCATCTATAAATTTGATTGCTAGAATGTTCCCTGATGGGGTGTCAGTAGGACATAGTAGCTAGCTACTGCCCCTCTAAGTTTTGGTAACATAAGTCCTAGTGGCCAAGGCTGTTCATTAATTAATGTTTGCTCCAGGGTTAGGTTGGTACATTCTGTGTCTGTGGTTTGAATATGAACTGTCCCTTCTGAAACTTGGGTTGAAATTTAATGTCTATCCAGGGATACTAAGGGGAGGGACAGGCAGGACCTTTCAGAGGTGGTCAGGGCTCTGCTTTCCTGATGGATTAATAGGTCTGATGTTTCTTGTGCTCTGTCTGTTGCCATGTGGTATCCTACATGGCTTCGGGATCTGCCAGTAAGGCCATCACCGATGCAGCCACTTAATCTTGGACCAGAACCATGAGCCAAGTCTGTGGTATGGTGCCATTAACAACAGAAGACAGACCCAGTCGGCTAAAGGTTATTTGAACTGTGCAGAAACAGAGCGGCTACCACTGGTTCCAGCTCCTCCTCACATGGTTTGAATGACTGTGATGTTTATTTAGACAGAACCAGGGCTCCAAATTACCCAACAAATTACTCAACAATTCATCCTCCAGTTCCTTTAGAAGCCACTGGTTGTTCAGCAGACTGACATATAAAGAAACTGATGCAAAAGTGAGGAGAGTGGCATGTATCCAAGGGAAGTCACCTTATCTCTTAGGGCCTCTGTTTCCTAATCTGCTACCAAAGTTTTCTCCCAGACTAAAATTCAGCAGCTCCAGGAGTTACACCCAATATGGCAGCCAGGACTCCAGAGCCGAGGGATTTATACCTGCTCTGTACACGCAAGCCCCTCGCCTGCCAGGGGCCTTCCTGGGTTCTCAGGACAGTGTGAGTCTCCCTCCTCTCTGTCCCATCTTGCTGTGTAGATGTGAAACAGGAAGTGACCTACTGTGCCTAGATTTCAAACACAGAAGTCTAGGCCTCTTCAGGAGAACGACAGTGACTTGGGGTGGGACTGGGCTGGGGCCTGTATATCTACACACACACACACACACACACACACACACACACACACTCTCTCTCTCTCTCTCTCTCTCTCTCTCTTTTTGGCTGTCTTCTGTCCTCTGCTCTTCTCAGTTCTGCTCGTGCTAGTTCCCTGCCATTCCCACACCTTGGCTCCCACAGGCACCACTCGGGCCCCCGGCTCATCAAACCCTACCCGTCCTTTAAGGCTCTGGTACGGCTGTGTCTCCTCCATAAATTCTGGATGGATCCTGCCTTGCCTGAGTGGCCACAGTACTGTCAGGGTAGAGTGGCATTTCTGAGTGGAGAGGTCACACCTGGGAGGATGGGGATGAAAGACCACGGGTGCCATGGAGTTCAGCAGACTGTCGTCAACAAGGCGAAGAAAGTAAGGCAACTGAGGCCAGAGGCTGCACTCTCCTCACAAAATCCTCCGAGGCAGGCCCCATCAGAGTTGATTTCACAGAACGACACACAGGGGCAGAGCGAACTCATCCATGTCAGGCTGGCAAGGAGCAGGGTCAGGAGGTGACTGACCCCACTACGTGGGCATGTAACCGACAGCAGGAGACTGCACATGGCCTGTGCGGCCAGCCTCTGTGCCCAGATGACTTTGCGGAATCACGTATCCACGTGAGTCTGTCTTCCTTCTCCTTCTCCATGGCCCTGGGATGCCCCTGAGGTGTCGTCACCCTCCTGGCCTGCGCGCCACCTCCCCAGGGCCCTGCCTAAGGAACTCTCCTGTACTCCCTGGGTTCAAACCTGACGCTTAGATTTCTCCTTCTTGAAATGGGCAGCTCACCAACTCTCCCTGGTTTTCCTTCKACTTCTCTGCCATCTGTCTCAGTTTCCTTTCCCTTGGGCCCTTCTTCTCAGTCAAAGGCCGCAGAGCCTCAGGTTCCCTCCTCGGCCGCCCCAGCATGCCGCAGCCTCCCTGGTGGCTGTCCTCTGCCCATTTATGTGCTGTAAGTGCTCGTCCACCTCCCCTGCACTAACCACCTCTCCTGGGGAGCAACCCAGACTCGCCTCACGATGCTCACACGTGCTGGTCCCCACGACCAGAACTCTTACCCGCGGCTCCCCCGCTACCCTTCACTCGGGTCTCAGCGGAGCCGGGATCTCCCTGCCCTCGCAGAGCACCGCCTGCTGCTTCCTGGTCGCCAGGTCCTGAACTGTCAGCTCTCCGAGGCCAGGGCCCGCATCTGCCTGGGGACTGTGCACAAGACAGAGTCCAGCAAACATGTGCTGAATAGTGAAGAAGTGAGCACTCACAAATTTATCCCTCTCAGACGTCGCATCAGCCATGATCCACACACACGCCGACTCCTGGCTCCCACTGGGGTGTCCGTCCTGCAGGCAGCTCAAACTTGGCATGTCTACGTGCATCATGGTGTCCTCTAGCCCTTCCCTCTGAACTTACTCCTTTTCCTTGTCTCTACCAAGAGTGGGAAAGACTGT